AGATAGTAGACAACAGGATATATGTGACATTAAAGGCAATCCAGGACTCTCACATATTACATTTTATAGTACGATCGTAGATAAGGCAAATTTCTATTATCACTTATAATCGACTATGTTACTATCAGTAGCATATATAAGAACTTTCGTCATCCTTGGAGTGATAATTGTATATATTACTGATGGACCCGGATAAATTACCAAATTGGTCGTTATACGGATGATTTGAAAGCGAAAATAAGATGATTATTTGTAGGTGATTCAGGTCTCGTATGCAATAATCAACACAAATAAGAAAATATTCTTAGAGTGATAATTGTATATGTTACTGATAGACCCGGATAATTTACCAAATTGGTCGCTATACGGATGATTTGAAAGCGAAAATAAGGTGATTATTTGTAGGTGATTCAGGTCTCGTATGCAATAATTAACACAAATAAGAAAATATCAGGCAATTCTCGGGGGTTGTTGAGGGCAACTTGAAATAGCATTCTTCGTTCTGCATTAATATCGGCCGTACACAGGAATTAGACAATAAAAACATTCCTACAGTAAATAACTTGTGCTAAATTGGCTTTATTATTCCACAAAGATAATATAAAGCCTTATTTCGAGTCGATGATCCACAGTCATAAAGATTTAATGACTATCACGAAATACATTTTTTTAGATTTTAATCATCATTCCGATTGCGCAATGTCGGGCACAAGTCTGGATAAGTTGATAAGCATTTCGTGGGTTCGGGAACACGTCTCGATAAGTTGATGAGCTATTTGTCATCATGAGAGAAAAAGAGTGGACTAAGCTGTATAGAACAATGTCCGTAATTAGAACCAATACAAGGAAAGTAATTCTTACTTAATTCCTTACTAGGAGTCCTGTTCATTAGTAGTTTTTCGAGATTAGCAGTAAATGATAAATAAAAAATAGGTAAGGTAGCCGATTGCTATAGAAAACACAACTTTGCTTCATCAACAATCCCACCACAGAATGCGACATGAGATAAATGCCTGGCCTTCCCTGAAATTAAAATCTGCCCAGTCTCCTAAGGGCACTCGTGAATGTGTTACGTAGTTGTCAATGTGTCGAGAGTACACACTGCACTGTCATGGTTTAAGCCCTGCTGGGGGTGTTGATGAGGCAGGCAAGGTTAAAAGTGTAATCCAACCTGGATGAGAATACCTTTTAGAAAAGCAAGGCTGCGAAATTCAATGGAAACGTAGGATTTACTGATTACGGGAAAATTCAACTGACAGTTCTTCATCACCTAAAACAAACTAGTGTGAATACATCTCATAGTCACTGTTTAACTAATCGTTCTGGTTCGGTGGCCTTACTAATTTTGGACTTAGCTGCATACATATCATAATCACCAAAACGACAAGTTTGAAAGAATCCAAACTAATGTCGAGTTACTGCTGTGAGCTAAGCCAGTAATAATTTTCGAACCTAACAGTCGACTTTGTGTTCAGCCTCTCTTTATCGAATGGGACGACAAGTCTCTTCAACATAAAAGCGATCGCAAGAACAAATTATTTTATAGCAACCTGATTTGGATAATAGATCAACTTCTCTCTAAAAGTGGACATAATTGATTAAAGTGTAATAGCTTCCTTGAAAACAGTTTTTATTTGACACTTACTTATTAGATCACCAATAATTAGGAGAGAACGTACTAACGCAAAGATCCTCTTCTTAACCATCAATTCTCCTAACAATAAATTTTCACACGAAATTGAAGCTCTAAACCAGCAAATCTGAACTAAAAGGGCCTTCGAATCCCGACTTTTATTCAAATATAGATGGCAGAATAATTTCGATAGAATTGTGAAGCTTTCCCATCCCGGAAGCTATAGTTTACCCTAAAAGTTATAATGAAAGCGTAGTTAAAAATGTGGTACAACAGTAAGTAAAATTCAAACGACAATTTTCATATGCTTAAATGTCTTGATAGTTCCGGTAAAATAAAAACCGCAATAAAAGCAGTTGTCAGCAATTAGCCTAATTTCCAGGTGACCATTAGTCATTCTCAGCAATCTATTCCAGATCAAAGTAAAATACCCTGACTTGGCAGTTTATCTACTCATATACGATAGTTAGACAAATTAATAGTTGATTACTAACGCGAACACCAAAGTTCCATTGGCACCCTGCCCGATAATTTGACGTAGGTTCACGCGAACCGCCTCTGGCTGGCCAGCCTCCATAGCTGAACAGCCCGCCCATCCATCGGCATTAGGATTGTCAAAAGAAGAAGGCAGGACAAAAGTGGTCTGCTTTCGATCAGCAGATTCTGACTTGCAAACTAAAGTTTCCAAAGAAACGCCCTCATCTTTGTCGCTTAGCCATGATAAAGAGCGGTCGTCCATACAGTCATTGCTGGAAATTTTGGTAGGGCAATTAAGGATATTGTACCTTTTCCACCTCCAACGGATATGCGACCAAGTCTGAGTAGGTATTAAAAAAGCCAGCAAGTGAAAAGAGGGAGTAGATAAATAGGTATAGATGAATATGCGTATAATATAAAATAAAATAAAAGTATATATATATATATATCATAAAAGGAAAGTATTAGCTAATTAAAAATACCTATTCTTGTATTGATTAAGGCGAACCAATAATAAATGATAAATATGATACCTCTAAATAGTGAAAAGAAAAATTTCACCTTACTTGACTACTGTAACATTAGATAAATTCAGGGCCTATTTTTTAAACTTGCCATAATGAGTATAAAGCACA